TTTGGAAGATGCAATTTAGGCAAATTTGGCATATCAGCAGCATACTGCGAGGTGGAGGGTTGAGTTGAGAGGGTAGGGGCTGCACAATAGAGGCTGTAGGTGCAGGCTCTACGAGATTTCTTTGTCGAGAATCGAGTTCGAAAATAACGGAATATATGTGACTTTGAATTTCTTCACTTTCTATAACCTCTCTTTCTATTTCATCTTCAGGAATTAAATCAAAGATTTCTTCATCGATTTTACGCAAAAGTGTCACCCTTTCTTTTAAAAGAAACTTCAACTGGTCAGCCCTTACTTCCGCAAAGGGTTCTTCGTCTAACAGAGTTTTAGCGTCCGTTATTAATTTAGTAACATAGGCACGGTAACCAGCCCTTACTCTTTTCCTTTTGCTAACTGCTGCTGCTGGGAGAGGAGGGTCTGCAGGGTTAGTGGCGCTTTCCCCCTGAGACGTCATGTCTCTACCGAATTACTTCAATACGAGAAAAACAGCAAAGAATCGTTTACTAAAAAGAATCTCGCTCTCATCATGAAGCGCAAACAAACAAACAAATAAACAAAATATCAATCCGGCGAGAAAAGAGCATTAAATCAAACAAACCACTTGCTGTGGACCATGTAGAAAATTATCCTGCCACAGGATCGCAATTCGGGGTCGGAGACAGAGAGGTGACAATTATCTGACACTCCCTCTCCAACGCTGACAAGTTAGAATCACCAAAAGGTTCAAAATTAAGGATCCATAGATTCAAATTCGATAAAAGAGGACTGTATATAAGTTAAACTAAATAGATCGATAATACTCTAACTCGTAAATATCAAGAAAACAAGAAACCATCAATAAAATAGAAGAATATTTAAGGAATTAAGGAACTAAACCCAATCAGAATAAAATCGAAACAATGTCACCTGAATATATATACAATACGGTTCAAGAGTTCTTGGGTTTCTCTTTGCCTTTATGATCATCAGAATAGAATGTTCCTTTTTCAACGTCCGTGCGTCCTTCCTTCCAGATCCAGAGACAATCCAACAACAACCAAAAACACCACCCATCACAACTCGTCAACAATATCACGTGACAACAACAAAATCAAAGAAGATCGGGGGGCAACAACCACTTTTTCCCACACTGGCAGCCCAAAAAATAAAGCTACAAGAAGCTTCAAAAAAGACAAAGCAATGTCATCAGCAGCTTGAAACAGAGATCGAAACGGAACTTGGTATGGACCATGGAGAAGCTGATAATGAAACGGCAAATTTTATGATAGAAAGACCTCGTGTAAATGCATATAATCGTAATGTATACGAACAAGAGGCTCAAAGTGCAAGGCATATTAACAGTAAAGCTGCAGATATTGGACAAGATCTGTGGAAACAGCTAAAACGAGTGTCAATTCCAGTGTTTTATGGTGACAAAAAGACGTATGAGATGTGGAAGGCAGCATTTACAGCCTGTATAGATCAAGCACCTGCTACTGCTGAATACAAGCTACTACAATTGCGTCAATATCTTTCTGGCGAAGCGCTTAGTGCAATTGATGGTCTGGGTCATTCAGCATTCGCCTATGAAGCAGCAAAAGAAAGACTTGAAAGAAAATATGGTGGGACAAGACGGAAAGTGATGATCTACCTGGACGAACTGGACAACTTCAAACCTATCAGAGAAGATCATCCGAGAGATATAGAAAGGTTCGCAGACTTATTGGATGTAGCAGTTACTAACCTTCGTGAAGCAAAACGAACAGAAGAACTTGGTAGTGGAACTTTGTACCACAAGTTGTTGAGAAAAATGACTGAGAAAATGCTGTCAAGATTTAAGCGCTGGGTTTACGAGCATCAAAAGAATGAAGATGTTGAAACGCTGCGACAGTTTATTATTGAGGAAGCAGAATTTCAAGTAGCAGCCGCAGAAACAATTCACGGCTTTCATAAGAACATGGTTACAAGACCCAAAAACTCTAGCAGTTCATTCTTTGGAGCAGATGACCGATCAAAGAAGTTGAAATTCTTGAGGAAATGCTACGTTTGTCAAAATGATCATATGATATGGGACTGCAGTGCCTTCAAAAACAAAAAAGTGAACCAGCGATGGGAAATTGCAAAGAAGCAGAAGCTTTGTTTTAAGTGTTTGAGAAGCAACCACCTGGCAAGAGCATGCAGAAATAGTCGAATTTGTGGTATCGACGGGTGCACTGATACACATAATCGTCTCCTTCACAAGAACAAAGAGGATGTGGTTGACAAAGTAAAGACAAGAGAAACTGAGAAAGGGCATGAGGGGGAGTCAGTGGAAAGTTCCCATACTTCAACATTGTCTAAAGAAAAACAAGATGAAGTAAAGTTTGTGTCACTAAGAACTGTTCCAGTTGTTTTAAAGAATGGCAATAAGAGGATTGTGGTTAACGCTCTGTTAGATGATGGAAGCACGAAAACCTATCTAAATAGCGATGTGGCAACAGAACTGGACTTGAAAAGTGAACGGCAAAATGTAACAGTCAGTATGCTTAATGGTGTAGCTGATTCTCTTGAGACAATGCCAGTTGAATTTCAACTTGAGTCCTTGGATGGAAAGCTGAAAACGCAGATCCAGGCATTAACAGTCAACCGAGTTACAGGCAATTTGAGAGCTGTTAATTGGGTAAAAATGGCAAACAACTGGAAGCATTTAAAAGATATCAAATTTCCCAGTGTTGGACCAAAGCCAACGATTGACATCTTAATTGGTGTGGACCATGCTGATCTTCACTGTGCACAGAGAGAGGTAAAGGGGAAAGCAAATGAACCAGTGGCCCGGCTGACACCTCTTGGGTGGACTTGTGTAGGTGATTGCAATGGGCAAGTTATTTCAACCAACTTTGTGATGTCACCAAAAGACGACAGAGAATTGATAAAGATAAACAGTACGATTAGAAAGTTATGGGAGATTGAAGGGGATGAAAGTATAAAAGACAAGACATTGATGTGCCCTGAAGACATTGAAGCACTGGAAATGGTGAAGAACTCATTGGAATACCATGATGGAAGGTATGAAATTAGAATACCATGGAAAAAGGAAAGAAAACTTGATGACAATTGCGAAATGGCTTTGAACCGATTAGCAAACACGGAGAAGAGACTTTTGAAAGACAAACAGCTGGGTAATAGCTATAATGAGATTATACAGCAATATCTACGAAAGGGATATCTTGAAAAAGTCGACAAAGAATCTGGAAAAGATTGCTGGTACTTCAACACCACACTTTCCTGTTCTACGTCCCGATAAAGCAACTACCAAGGTGCGCATTGTCTTCGATGGGTCAGCAAAATACAATGGCATGTCTGTCAATGATGTAATTCACCAAGGACCGAAACTTCAACAAGATTTGGTGAAAGTACTCTTGCGATTCCGGAAGCATCCAGTTGCCTTGGTTTGCGACATAGCCGAAATGTATTTACAAATTGGAATACATCCAGATGACCGGCAGTATCAAAAAATTTTGTGGAGGAACATCGATCAAACTGCTGAGCCCGACGTGTTACAATTCAACAGAATGGTATTTGGAATAAATTCGTCACCCTTTGGAGCTCAATTTGTGTCACAAGAACATGCAAGAAGAAGTGCAGAAGAATTGCCAATGGCTGCAAGCTCAGTGTTAGATTCAACTTATATGGATGACACAATGGATTCAGTGACTGATGACGAAGCAGGTATCAAACTATACACGGAACTGTCAGAACTTTGGCACTCAGCCGGTATGTATGCAAGAAAGTGGCTATCGAATTCAACAGCAGTATTGAAGGTCATCCCAGAGACAGATCGTGCAGAAAATATCGACTTGGATGCTGGAGAATTACCGTCAGTGAAAACACTTGGGATCGTGTGGAATGCTCAACGAGATGTGTTCACGTACAAGTCTGTCAAACAAGCTGAAGGTACGACATATACAAAACGTTTTTTATTAAAGGAAATGGCAACGCTCTTTGATCCATTGGGATTCATTTCGCCATATGTCATCCGTATCAAAGTCATCATGCAAGAATTATGGTTACGTGGACTGAATTGGGATGATGAACTTCCTGGTAATGTGGTAACGAAAATAAAAGCATGGTTTCATGAGTTGGAGAAATTGCCATTGATTCAAATTCCAAGATGCTTAAGGACGACGTCATTAGTAACAAGTCAGTTCATCCATGTGTTTACGGATGCATCTAGTGAAGCATATGGTGCAGTTGCCTATCTACAGTCTGTTTACGAGTCAGGGGAATATTCTTCTCGTCTCATCATGTCCAAGGCAAGAGTTGCTCCTTTAAAATCGATAAGCATCCCAAGACTGGAACTGCTAGGAGCTGTTCTCGGATTAAAGTTGGCAGACAAAATAGCTGACGCTTTGAAAATGGAGTTACAAGACGTGAGATTCTGGAGTGACAGTATGAATGTGTTGTGGTGGATAAGAAATCAAAGTCGAAACTTGAAGCCGTTTATTGCAAATCGGGTTGGATTGATTCAATCAAGAACTGAAAACAGTCAATGGAGATACATTCCAACGAAGAAAAATCCTGCTGACTTACTGAGTAGGGGACTATCCGTGACAGCTTTGGTGCAGAATGAAAGTTGGTGGAATGGCCCCAGTTTCCTGTACAATCCTGAAGAATCTTGGCCAGATAATCAATTTCAAGTAACAGACGAAGCAATATTGGAAATGAAGAAGACAGCTGTTGATACAACAGCCTTATTTGTAACAGAGAAGTCTGACGAAATATTAGATCCAAAACGATACTCAAAATGGAATAGATTGATAAAAGTAAATGCATGGGTGAATCGATTCTTGAATAATTGCAGAAGACCAAAGCATCTACGGAGTCAAGGAAATTTGAGAGTTGACGAAATGCAAGAAAGCGAGTATGAGTTCATCATCAAAGCCCAAAAGGAAAGCTTTGAAGAGGAATATGAAAGATTGGTGGAAGGAAAGATATTACCACCATCAAGCAATATCATATCACTGAAACCACAATTAGGTGAAGATGGATTAATGCGATCCTGCGGACGGTTACAAAATGCAGAGTATTTACCATATGATATCAAATATCCCATCATTTTACCGAGAGGACACATTGTAACCAGGTTGATTGTCAGGCAGTGCCACGAAGATTGAAATCATGCTATGGGGACGAATCAGACGCTGGCTAAGCTATCAGAACGATATTGGCTGATAAGAGGCAGAGAAGAGATTCGCGAAGTCATAAATAGATGCAACCAGTGCAAGGTGAAAAAGGCAACACCCGCAAATCAACTTATGGCTCCATTACCATCGATTCGTCTCAAAGAACCACTACGTGCATTTGCAAGAATTGGATTGGATTTTGCAGGACCATACATCACCAAACAAGGACGAGGAAAGAAACAAGCCAAGAGGTACTTGTGTTTATTTACATGTTTACTATCAAGGGCAGTACATTTGGAACTAGCGTATGGGCTGGAAACCAATTCATTTCTTAACGCATTCTACAGAATGGTAAACAGACGAGGATTACCAAGCGAAGTATTGTCGGATAATGGTACAAATTTTGTTGGTGGTAACAAGGAGTTGCAAGAGCTAATTAACCACTTGGATAGAGATAAGATTGAAACTTCAGTTGCTAACAAAGGGATCACATGGCACTTCAATGCTCCTTTAGCACCACACCTGGGAGGAGTCTTCGAAACTATGATAAAAGCAGCTAAAAGAGCAGTAACTGCTATCCTCGGAAAAGCAGATATAACAGACGAGGAGCTTCATACAGCCTTTACAGGTGCGGAAAGTCTATTGAATTCAAGACCATTGACTTATCAAAGTGCTGATATCAAGGATGATGTACCTTTAACTCCTAACCATTTCTTATTTGGACAAGCTGGTGGAAAATTTGCCCCAGAGTCAGTCGACACCGAAGATTACCATCCTTCAAGACGATGGAGACGAGTGCAAGAGCTAGTACGTCACTTTTGGAAGCGTTGGATGAAGGAGTGGTTGCCATCTTTATCGCCGCGCCGTAAATGGAATAAAGAACAAGGCGATTTGAAGGTGAATGATGTTGTGTTGATAATATCACCAGATACCCCAAGAGGAAACTGGCCATTGGGGCGTGTAGTAAAAGTCTTCCCAGGAAGCGATGGACATGTTCGAGTAGTTCAAGTGAAAGTAGGAGCAAAGGAGATAAAACGACCGATTTCAAGACTGTGTCCCCTTGAGTTCAGTAGTGGATAGTGGTGTTTGATGACAGTTTTCATCAAAGAGGGGGAGAATGGACAGAAGAAAACGACTCGAAACTTCTAGAACGCTGGCATCCTGCTGCGACTATGAACGTATTGATAGAAAACAATGAATATATTAGACATGCTGAGTAGACACTTAATAAAAAAGAACAATAAGCTTCGTAATGAACTAATTATAGAAATGTTGCGTCATTCCTTTGTATTTCGTAAAGCGGCATTCCTTTGTAACTGCTTGACCTATTAATTCCCGTGATTTCTTGTTTATTCTGGAACTTTCCATTTAAAATGTATAAAAGTAGCATTTGTACGATTTGAGGAGTAGTATTAGTTAGTTCGATAGTTAATCTTTACGCTCTTCGACGATAGACGATTATTATTAAGACTTATTATTGCTCTCATAATCGGAGAGTTATTTTTTATGATCAATCTTCGGATCATCCTTGTTTTCTAAGAATTGTTTTTCGCTGCGATTTATCCGTCACTATGCTACATTTTGCTGAA